TGATGCTTCAACAGCTCATTTGCCTAAGTGAAAATTTCACTTCTTCTGAAAGGAAGTAATCAAACCTTTGGATGGCGATGAGAATGGATTCTGTAGTGGTCTTTGTGAGGGTTGGTTTCTTGACCAGGTAGAACTGCCCCATAACTGATCCCTAAAGGGAGGGGAAATGGTTTCTGTCAAAGAATGGGAGTTTTGGGAGGTCAGGTATGCAGTTTGTAAAAGTAGGAACGAAATTATGATGTAGTCGCCTATGAAGAAAGCAGAAGAATCATTATCTCTGCTGCTTTCAGATGACTGGAGAAAGAAAGGTAAAGCCATACACAGCATGGGTACGCTGGTTAGGCCAAGCGTGTTTACCTGGGGACTGCAATCAATAATGGCAAACTGAATATTCATTCTGCTTAGCAAGACTATTCCTTGCTGAGAATTGGAAGTCTGGGTTCATCTAAAAATCATCATCTTGGGCTGGAGCAATAGCACAGCGGGTAGGGTGTTTGCCTTGCACATGGCCAACCCGGGTTCGATTCCCAGTATCCCAGATGGTCCCTTGAGAACTGCCAGGGATGATTCCTGAGTTCAGAGCCAGGAGTAACCCCTGTGCATCGCCAGGTGTGACCCAAAAAGCAAAATAAATAAATAAATAAAAATAAAAATCATCATCTCGAGGAGAAAGGATTTCCTCATCAGGTATAGACTGGTGGGCTAGCCGGAAGGAAGAAGAGTTCTAAGGAGCTAAATTCCAAGCAAAGAGGAAAGCCCACTGGTGTTGGAGGAGGAGCTGGTATCCAATGACTACAGTTTAGAGCTGAAAGAATACCTCCCCCCCCCCCCCCACTTTGGTCACTCATGGGTGACTTCTATGAGGAACCTCTTCAGGAAAGACAATAGTCATTTGATGATAAAATCCTCAAATCTCTGGCTAAGCCAGTGATACACCATCAATATGCTGAAAAGTCCAGTAGTTTGTTATTGTTAAGAAAATGGAACTTGGGGCTGGAGCGATAGCACAGCAGGTATTGCATTTGCCTTGCATGTGGCCGACCTGGGTTCGATTCCCAGCATCCCATATGCCCTCCCCACACCCCCCGAGCACTGCCAGGAATAATTCCTGAGTGCATGAACCAGGAGTAACCCCTGTGCATTGCTGGGTGTGACACAAAAAGAAAAAAAAAAAAGGAACTCAGGGATACAACAATGCGCTCCACTTTTTCAAACACACATTGATCTGGGCCCCTTCCAAAGCTTCTTTTTCTTTTCTAAAGCTTCTGGGAGATTCCACCATGCTGCTTCCCAGGCTTAAGTTCTTTTCATCCTAGTCTCTTTGGTCTCATCTTGGGGTGAGGGAGGGCTGCCTAGAGATTAAGATGGCATCCCCAGGGCTGGAGCGATAGCACAGCGGGTAGGGCATCTGCCTTGCACGCAGCCAACATGGCTGACCTGAGTTCGATTCCTCCGCCCCTCTCGGAGAGCCCGCAAGTATTGGATATGCCAGACACAGTAACAACAAAGTCTCCAATGGAGACGTTACTGGGCCCGCTCGAGCAAATGGATGATCAACGGGAGGGTCCCAGGGCACCAGGAGACTATTCTTAAGGGTATGACTTAGATTAGGAGACAGAGGGCCTGCCTGAAGTCTGAATCCAAGAAAGGTCACAGACCTTTCTGTGAGAGTGGGGAGAAGAGAGGTTTATAAGAGAGACCAGGACAACTCACAAAGACTAGACCACCACGACAGCCACAGAAACGCAGAAGCCAAAATTTGCCAGATTTTCAGACTTCTTAGAAAATTCCTCAGCTAGGCTGCAGCTGTGCCAGTCATAGAAAGGAGACTTTTCTTTTCACTGAAGTTAAAACCCTTAATATGGCAGAGACCTTGGGTGATAGCTGGCATCCTTCAGAGCATTCTCTTGGGGTTTCCATCTTCTATTCTCTGAAACATTTTCAGTGCTCAGCACACCAAAAAGAATATAGAAAAAAAGTGGCTGAAAATAGGTGACAGTGAGTGACTGGAGAATAAAAATGTATTTTAAATGAGGTTAATTCAATAACACAAATTGTATAATCATGTTTTCTGGGTGGGGGGGGGTATTTTTGAGGTGTCGAGTGCTTTTTCCTGTGTGCTACTGAGAGGATGAAAGATAATAATAAAACTGCATATGGCAGTGTGTGTTGAAAGAGTCAATATTTTTATTTGGTAACCATTTTTAATTCCTGATTAGTATCACACTAAATCATAAGATATTGGCCACTTAAAGCAGGGCTGAACTTTTGTACAATCTGTTTTAATACTTGCATGCATACCTGTATACACATATACTGGATATACTGGGTCTGATTTGTAATTTAAAAGTTTGGAGAACATGAATACGGTGAATATGCACTACAATGAAAACTTTGTGGTGACAGTTATAATATGGCTTGTCTTCCTTGGGAAATTATTGAGAGCATTTCAAATTAGGACGATCATTTTGTGATTTGAAACTATTCTTCCAACTGTAGATATAAGGTAGTTTTTCTACCCAGTCCAGTGCTTCCCTCATTTGCCTTGGCATATAATAAGAACTAAGGTTCTTATTAAGCATATTAATTTCCCAGATCCACTTCACTCCCTTCTGAATTTCAATCTCTACAAACACAGATGGCAATCTACATGAACCCATTAGGTCTTATGGTTAAATAAGCTCTAAATTCACCTGTGTAAGTGGCAAATGTGTTTTAGAAGATGATTTTTTTTAAAGTGTAGGTGGGGAGAATTCGTTCATTTGGTCAGTTTGAATTTTTAAGAACTTTGATGTAAAGCACTTGGGAACCAGTCTTATGGGCAGTGACAAAAACATGACCAGCAGATATAATCCGAACTTGAGAATGGCAACTGATCTCCCTATCCAAATGTCACAGTCATAATTTTAGAACTACTCTATTAAAACTACATATATTTTGAAGCAGTCGAAGCCTCGATGGATCTAAATGTCAAAGTGTTTTCAGTTTAGAAACTTTATATTCTAGAAAGATAGGAGCTTATTGATTATTTGCATGAACTCTTCCTTTGCAAAACATTACCAAGCTTTTACTGATGGTGAAAAGATGAATGAAAAAAAAAAGTCAACAGATGGATTCATAAAACAGTGGCAGAAAAAGAGTGGCAGGGCCTGGTGGCCCTGTGCTTGCTAAGGGTCTGGTACCTGTTTTCTACTGCTCTGAGGGGACTGTGAGATACTATCTTCTCACTCACAGCAGCTCTGTACTGTAAGTACCACAATATGACCTCGGTGATGGAAAATCTTAGGCTTCAAATGGTTAATGTTGCAGTATCACATTGTTCAAGGCCCGTTCCAAAGTCTGTCCTCAGGCCTACCCATAACTTTACACTCTAATAATCCTAGATGTCGGCCGCGCGCGACATCTTATCTGAACATCTTTTTATGATATCTCATTATCTCATTCCTACTCTGGACAAACTTGCAGGCTATCGAATATAGCCTGCCCACAGGGCAGAGTCTGGCAAACTCCCCGTGGTGCACCAAATATGCCAAATACCAGTAACAATGATGGGTCTCATTCTCCCAAAAAGCCTTGAATATAATCTCAGGGCTAGGATGAAAGAGACGTTACTGGGGCCTGCTCGAGGCAATCGACGATTAACAGGATGATGAATGAATGAATGAATGAAATCCTAGAGGATTATTACACATGTGTTTGGTTTTAACATACTTGCTTGTATTCTCTTATATACATTCTCCATCCCTCTCAGAGAGCCCGGAAAGCTACCGAGAGTACCTCGCCCGCACAGCGAGCCTGGCAAGCTCCCCATGGTGTATTCGATATGCCCAAAACAGCAACAATAACAGGTCTCATTCCCTTCACCCTGAAAGAGCCTCCAATATGGCAGCCTTGGGAAAGACAGTAAAGAGAGGCTGCTAAAATCTCAGGACTGGAATGAATGGAGACGTTACTGGCACCCTCTCGAGCAAATTGATGAATAATGGTGATGACAGTGATACAGTGATACAAAGAATCCTAGAAGGAAGAGGGATCACCCCTGTCTTGTGGAGATCCAAGGAAAATGAGGCATTGGACAGTACAGTAGGTATTGCTGACATATTTCAATCTGTCCAATTTGACATTTTCCCATGAAACACTATGGTGAGGTGCACACCTCTTCTATGCCTATCATGACAATAAATTTCCATTTAAAAGCAGTGAGAATCACAATCTTCTTACAATTTATGAAATTGATTGGTAAGCCTGGGCATCTCTTTCAACAAGAATTTCCCAGTGCAAACAGTGTCCCCCAATTAATATTTAAACCTCATTATATTTACCACAACCCCCATTTCCATATTGGGAAGAGTAAGAAATCTTACTCTCAAAAAAGGCTTCTGAACTAGTCATTCTGAACTAAAAAGTAAAGTTAAAAAAAAAATAAAGTAAAAAAACAAAACAAAACACTTAAATCTAGGTTTTCAAGAGATTCCTCACTGTAAACTTCCTGGAAAGTATCTGCATATACCTGTGATTTGATTTAAAAAAATAAAAGAAAAGAAAGACGAAAAGAAAAGAAAAGATAGATAAGAGTCAAATGTAAAAATGTTTGGAAAGTTAGAAGGAGTGGAAAGGGGAGGAACATGACACAGATTCTAAGTCATGATCCCTAAGGGCTTTTAAATCTTCTGCCCTAGAGGGTAAAGAATTTCATTGCTAGTAAAAAGCTTTGATAAGTCAAGAAGATACTGCATAATTAGTCACAGAGCTAGCTATATTTGGCCCAGAAAGGTATAGGATGACTTTAACTTCACATTGCTTTTTGTCCCCTAATTTTCTAAAATTCAAGTTTTCCAGTTTTAACCCAGGGGATGAAGCCTGACAACTCTTTTACAGTAATACTGTTTGCTGAGCTTCTCTGAAAATAGAGCTGAAGTAGATTTTCACGTACAACTCGACATGCTTTGTGTTTCTGTTATATAAACTCGCTTTCATGACAACTGTTAAGAGAATTCAACTAATTGGGGAATTGTTTATTTTTAAAATGATTTATACTTTTGTAATCACCAGTTTTGTCGATTTATTTTCCCAGGAGAATAATCAACATTAAATAGTTCAAAAGAAGCTAATAAAATTAGTTGATCGTTTTTAGGAGACTTTTTACAAACCTTGCTCCACCCCCACCCCCCTTGTTCTGGAGAAAGAATATACTATAGGGAAATAAAATCAACCAGCTCCACTCCTCCCGCAAAGCCCGCAGGTTTTCGATAAAATTACTCTAAGAATTAGTCTTATTTTTAATACATGTAAAATAGCAAAACCATCATGCCAACATAAGGAATATATACTATAATTCATAAGATCCTAATTACCAAAACAATGACATAGGAATGGTTAGATGCAACCTAGCAGTCTTATATACGATGCAACTACATATTGTATGATCATTCCTGTTATATATTACATTCGAATCTCATCAAATTAAGCGGCCTATGGATAAATGGCATTATGAAATAAACATTTAATATCACAATGGGGTCATATTCTGCTACTGCACAACCATAGCATGCGGGAAACTATGCATCAGCTGTAAACAGTGAAGTGTCATCCTCCTCCAGAAATTCAAAGAACATGAAAAGTCCATAGATAGTACTAAACATCAATTATATTTAAGTGATTTTTATATTGAAAAAAACATCATATCATATACGGAAGTTTTAGATTTCTCGGCTATGGCTCTCAGTGTAGCCTATAGCCAACCGGAAGTTAAGAAACTCCCCTTCCAAAGATCTTTCATGCTCTGAAGCTCCTCAACTGTTGTCGTTATTAGGACACAAATGATTATATGTTTCAATGTGAAAGTTGTTGTAATATCATTCTTCCCTTCTACCATTAACCAGTTTTGAGTCATTAAGAATATGCTGAATTTGGAAAACAATGCACTTATTCTTAAACTGGACACTTTCTCTCATGGCTTCAATGCATTCATGTTAGAGAAATAAAAATACTGTGGGTGCTTTTCTCTCCTTATTGTCTCAATGAAAGAGCTGGCAGGCGCGAACCTGGGACATGTATCATTTGGGAGACAGTGCCTCTAAAAATTTCTCCTAACATCTTTGAACAGTAGATAAAATCTCTAGCAGTGAGGAGAGAAATATCAAAGGTGTTCATTAATGGGCTCTTATAAAACGGCAGGTGGATCACTGAGGTCTGATCCAGTGATTTGGAGGCAATTAAAAACTATCATCTTGGAACAGAAACTTGGGCACACTGTCAAAATGACTTCCGCTCTGTTTAGGCTTGTGGTTTTAGGAGCTTGCTTTTTGGAAGGAGGGGAGTAACTGATTGCTGGACAGGCTCTTCCATGCTCTATCAGCTCTGATAATGAGTTAGGCAGTTGGCATGGACTACAGGAATGTCCTCTTCACTCAGAATTCTAATAAACCTCCTGTGAAGTCGCACATACCATTCATCCAAATGGGCTAATTTGGGCCTGCATTCCAGTTATGTAGAAAATGGTCACATTCTCTGACGGAGTTTGGGACATGAGAGTCATGTGAAATACTGACATACAATCCCTACATTCTATGAAATCAAAACCTTGCTTTTACATTTATACTGAGATAAAATAGCATTTAAATCCATTGCCATTTGTTCATTTCCTATTCACTTCGCATTAAATATACAAGAGGTTTAAGTTTATGTGTATGAGGCAAAAACTGTACAATTTTCATCATTCAGGCATTATAAAATGTCTCTCTTTAAAGTCTTGAGATATAAACAATTTGGTTTATACGAATTACATATTTTTCATCTGCATTAAGAAACAATATACATCTTTTTTTTTCTAGAGTAATTTAATATTACCTATGATAAGCCTAAGAGAGTCATAAAAACTGACTTCGTTGCCGGTGACCATCAATACTGTTACTTCTAGAAAACTTGTGAGCATTCTTTGGCCACTTGGGTCACGACCCATTTGGAGGGAGCTGGACTCGGTCCTGCGGTCCGTACATGGGCTGGCCTCCATCAGAACCGAGGCCAGAGACCAGCTTTAGAGGAAGCCATTTGCAAAGTCAAAGACTCTGAAAGAGCTGGGCACAGTTTCTGCTTCTCAGACACAAGTTCCCTGACGTGTTGAGAGGTGATGCTTTCGATTTCTGACCCCTGAAGTCTTGTCTTTACTCTCTGAAGGCTTCTGTTGTGAAATATCCACGAGGGCACTGGCAATCGCGAGACCTGGAAGAGAAGGAAAAAGGCGCTTAAGTAAATGCTTGGCTGGACATTTCGGGGTCATGGACAAACTGTGCAGAATTTGAGCAGACAAATGTCTTACAAACAATCAAAGGAACTGGAATATCGTCAGCAGAGTATCAACACCAAAGGAGATGTCTAGTTATCAAATTAAAAGAATATCGTTCTGCTATCCTGTTTGATTTTATGCTTGACAAGAACGCTTGGCAAGGTGTTCAGGAGTTCTAAAGACTTCAAATTTGAACAAGATATGGTTCCATCAGATACCCTCATTTATCATAGCGACAAATGACAAATAAATCATTTTTGCTTCTGTTGAGACCAAAATGATTTTGGAGTTAAAAAAAAAAAGAGTTGCAAAAGAGATGGAGGAACCAGATTGCTTTAAGAAGAGGTTACTGAAGTACTCGGGGTTGATTCTTTTTCATGGTATTGGAAACCGGGCTCTAATCGGAGCTAAAACTGATCCCTGAGACTTCAGGCCTTCTCCATGGTGCCAAAGGGAGGCTCTGCATCTTTTCTATAACATTTTTTCCTACATAAGGGGTCACTGAACTCTTTTCTTCCTGCAGGTCACTTTATTCTAAGGAAAGCTCAAACATGGATGGGCAAGAACATAACTCCAGAGATTTATGAACAGAAAGAAAAGAAATAAAGAAGAGAAAAAAACTTGTAAGAGGAAGGAGAATTCACCTAGTACAGCACTGCCAAGAGGGAGAATGTGGCTCATAGGGTCTGTGAAAAGGCCCAAATGGAACGCAAGTAAGTTTTGTCACAGATCGTTTCATTTCCCTAAGGAGGTTTTGATGACTTTTGAGTCCTTTCCATATCTAACAGAAAACTTCTGGCTGGGCAGAGAAAAATGGGGTGAGAGGAGGCAGGTGAAGGGATCTCAGTGCCAGGTTCAAGTTGCTCAGAAATGGAAAAAAGATAAACAAGATTACAAGGGAAGCATCAGATGAACTATACGCAGGCACCCACGATGATCTGGGCTCATTTCTGGACCACACAATTTATGACCCACCTTGACTACACCTACTGGTGCATCGAAAAACAGAAAAGAAGGTATATGCGAAAGGAAATTGATGAGAAATGACGTCACATTATTTGCTATATTAATTACACCCATCAATGTCCAATCTGAAAGCCTTACCTTCTCCGGGTTGTTGTTAAGCCAATCTACTCTTTCAGGATATTAGATACTTCCCTGATTCCTTAGAAACCGTGCAAGTTCAAAGCTTCAAAGTTTATTTTTCCTTTTGTTTTTTGGGGTTTGGGGACCACACCTGGTGGTGCTTAGGGGTTACTCTAGGTGTACTCAGTAATGAACCCTGGCAATACTCAAGGGACCACATGTGACACTGGGACCCACAGTCAGCTGATTGCAAGGAAAGCCTCTTAACCCTCTGCACTATTTCTCCAACTTTAAAGTTGGAATAAAAATTGCTTTCTTGACCTTTGAAGAGCAGTCATGAATGGCTAAAGTGTCCAAGAGAGATGTTCTTACCACTTTGCTAGGGGAAATAATTATGTTCTTATTTCTTTAAGAGGAGTCAGACCACTTGTTTTGTTCACAGACCATGGTTGGGTTAAGAGTTCAGTTCAGGCAGACCTTGTTTCTGCATCTCTCCTGGCATGCTTCCGTCATAACTTACGTTGTTACTTAATCCTTGGCCCGTCTCATCCAGAGACAGCCAAAGCAGATGATAATATATGTCTCCTTTAAAGTGGACAGAGAACACTGAGACTGATTTCAGGGATCACAGCCTCCAAATATGAAATCATGTTATTCATTAAACCACTGTATGACCTAGTGCAAAGGAGCTCCGGAAAACAATGGTTTTTCTATTTACAGAAATGTTTTTCTCACAAGAAATATAGCACCCAAGGAGGAGTAAACAGTTTGTGTTGCCAAACAGGAAATACTAATCCCAAACTGACACTGTATCTGTGTATTTTGGGGGTATATGAAGTCTAGAGCCTAATTAGTGCCTCTCCTAGCACATCCTGGGCTTACTAATGATTTGTGGGCTTGGAAACACTCAGTTAAAAATAGGAAATCCAAAACCATATTAAATTCTTAATTTAGAAACAAACTTGCCAATAAGGGTTATTTTTCATTTGACTGATTTTTGTCCTTCACCAGAAAAATGGAACCATCAATGCCTCTTCAGATTACATAAATGGCAATGTGCAAGAAGTTTTGCCTTTTCCTGGGGCAGTGAGATGTGAGGGTCCTTCCAGCAACCAGCCAGAGAAATGCTTGCCCAGGATTTATCTTTTCCCTGGATTAGATGATGTTTAGATTCACACTAAAGCTTCATAGTTTCTGGACCACATAGTTGGTGGTCCATCATAAGTCATTAAGATTTATGAATATTACAATTCAACAATTATAAAAACTGCACAGGAGTGCATGTGTATGTGTGCATCTTACATGTTAATTTGCTGAATGGTTTAATTTTTTTTACTCTTCTCATTTCTTCATGTCTTAATATATTAGGAGAGCTGAAACACTACCACCATCACCCATCACTCAGCAGCTGATCGGCTGTCTTTCAACCTACAACCAGATTGCGGAACACAGGACTGAGCAAGAGAGACAATGAGCAAGAAAGACAAGGCCCCCAAATTCCTGAATTACACTGCATGTGAGAGGCTCATTAATAAAGAGCCAGAGAAATTAAGGTAATTTATTTCCTTGCCTTTCAGCATACTCTGCTATTGTAGGGAACCTAATTTTTTTTAATTGACATCAAGAAAAGTCCAGTTTGTAGCTCTTTTTTCAAATATTTTTTATTTTATAAAGTAGTTCACAACATTTGATAACATTTAATTGTCAGACATCAATCGCACCACCATTACACCTTCCCACTACCGTATTTCGGACCCATCCTGAACTCTAATCCCTGCCCCAAAGCAGAACTGAAATAATATATTTTTGTTTTGTTTGTTATGAAACACTGCTGAAAATGCTACAAAAAGTGTCTTTAGAGGAAAGAGTGTGAAGATTGTTGTACTTAACCAAGGGCCATTAAGCCCTTCTCTAAGAGATCACTAACATGTTGTTAAAGTTTGAACTTTGTGTGCTCTAATAAAAGGTAAAGGTAAAGGCCCTCCCGTTGATCGTCGATTTACTCGAGTGGGCCCAGTAACGTCTCCATTGGAGACTTTGTTATTACTGTGCTTGGCATATCGAATACTCTCGGTAGCTTGCCAGGCTCTCCGAGAGGGGCGGAGGAATCGAACTCGGGTCGGCCATGTTGGCCGCTTGTAAGGCGAACGCGCTACCGCTGTGCTATCGCTATATATATTATATATATATAATATATATAATAAAAAATTATTTCCCTCTAGGATTGGTTGCCTCCTGCTTTGAACCCCATCAAATGTGGTGCGGTACTCTTGGAGTATGGGTAGGGTGTGGGTATGAAGTGTTATGCGGCTGCAAATGTGGCCGCATGGTCCAAGAATAGGTTCACCCGTGGCTGAGGCTTGGCCTGAGCTTGTGGAGAATGACTGTGAGGATGGCAGCAGTTGAGTTCTGGAGGTTTTTGGCTGCCAGGGCTTGGTCCCTTGGGGCAGGGTGGGGCTTCACTTGCCCCCCCTTTGGGGCACCCCAAGTGAAATAACGGGTTCCAGTGGCATGGTGACGAGATTATCTGTTGCCAGACAGAGATAAATCCCTGGCTCTTTTTCTATCACCTTTCCTCCCCTTCAGGTAACACTTATATACCAGCGAGAGACTGAATACATTGGGACAGACCATACATGAAAAAAGAATTCTAGTCTTCCAGCACCAACAACCTCCCCAGAAAATAAAATAATTCCATTTCTACAGTAATCCTTCCCTGACAGGGGCTGTGAGTTCAGGCCTGGAGGAATCAGTTTGTTCCTAGAGGGGAACAGATTACTGGGGGTCAGATTACTGACCTTGTAACAAGGGATCTCAGACTTGGAGAAATACTGACAGCTTCTCTTATTCTTTTGTCCCTACTTGGCAACAAAAGAAGTCACCACAGAGCCACATCCCGCCCAAAGAGGGGCCTTGTTTTCATGACCCCTTATCTATAGCTTAGAATCAGGCAGCCTGAAACCTTCCTTCTCTCATCACAAAACAGTGCTCCTCCCCCCCTCCACCCCCACCCCCGCCCCAAATACACACACCTCTTGGACCTCTACCAAAGATCAGCAAGTGGTAGTTCTGGTGGTAGAGCAGGTTCTTGAGCAAGTAGTTTGAGAACTTTCCTGAATTAACAACAAATACTAACCCAGGGCCAGAAAAGTGATTCAGTGGCTAAGCCTCTGTCTTGAAGGTGTAGTACCTGTATTGCAAACCACAATTATAAAAGGAGGGAGGGAGGGTTGGAAGGGAGCGGGAGGGAGGGAGGGGGAGGGGGAGAGAGAGAAAAAGGAAAAAGAAGAGAGAGAGAAAGGAGAGGGAGGGAGAGAGAGAGAGAGAGAGAGAGAGAGAGAGAGAGAGAGAGAGAGAGAGAGAGAGCTGTCATCCATACAGGCAGCCTGGAGGTTGGTGGAAGGAAAACTGGGGACATTGGTGGTAGGAAATGTATGCTGGGGAAGCGTTGGGTGTTGTAATATTTTATGGCTGAAACCCAATCATGAACAACTTTGCAACTGTGTATCTCACACTGTTTCAATAAAACAAACTAATAATAAAAGTCACTTAGAAATAAAATCACTTTTAGGCATGGAGGTTGGGGGCCCCCAAGCAATGCTCATGGCCCTAGCCTCCCTCCTAGCAATTGTTGGCGAATGGTTCATTGCAAGGGCCAGACAGTGTTTTGGTGCTCTGGTCCTTTGGTGATGGGCATTATCCCTGGAGCATACCTGGTGATGCTCAGGGACCTCCAGGGCTGCACAGGCAGTGCCTGAAAGACCATATGGTGTTAGATCAAACTAGGGTGGTAGTGTGCAAGGCATTTGCCTTAACTATGGCCCCCAAATCTTCATCCTGAATCGAGGTA